TATGTTAGTGTAAAATAATCGATTCGAATAACTCCTTTGAGTGAGGCAACAGCTTAATTGAGACCAACGAAAATAATGGCATAGGCTTGTACATTTAAGCATGCATACATATGTACAGACAATATGCGAACCGTTCATGACTAAATACAGGTGTATTCGACAATGACACATTTGACAAAGAGCAACAACTCAACTTCTGTAATTATTTTTGATGTAAATAAATAAAACTTCTAATGAGCGAAAAATGAGAAAAATGGGTGATCGAGATATGAAAAGTGCTTTTGGCAGTGAACTACGGATAATATATTCATATTGTTGGCACAAGGTTTGTTTCTTTATGATATAAATAATGAAATAAATTTCTAGAAAACTTTCCCAAACTAAAAATATTGGTCGTGGTTCTGGAAATTTAAACATTAAATGAACCATTGAATTTTTTCCAACATATTTTTTATTTTTTCAAAGTTATATTCATAAAAATACAATAATCAAAGAAACGTGCAGACGTTTACAAAATGCTGATCGGATCTGAAAGATTTAAGAAACCAAAAATATTCTGAAGGTGATAAGTCAGAACTGTAGGGTGGATATGGCGTCAGTGCAAATATGAGCGCGCGCTGGCGTTATGATGAAGGAACATAACGCCTTCGTGGATTACCCAGTTCAGTGTATTTTTTCTTCGTAGTAATAGTAATAATAGCGGTTACCTTCGATTAACGTTTTTCTGTTGTCTTCATCTTCATCTTCCCAATGAAACGAAGCAAACCAACACTGTCAGTGGCGTTCACTAAAACGACCATCACCACAAGCTTTACACAATTTCTTCTCCGTGTCAGGTCTTAATATAGGACCATGAAACCATGAATGCATAAATGAAAATGAAATTCCAAAAGGATACACATAATGGAATCTTGACGAAAAATTTCATATAATAAATAATACTCCTAATAATTTTTTTTATTAACAATAAAAAATATAAAAACCTGCTAGAGGCCACCTACTATTTCCCTATTTCATCGGCAACAATGAAAACATCTATTTACGAGTATATCTGTACTGGTACTGAGATAACTCGCCCTGGCGAGGCTGCCCCTATCGATTGCCTCAGATTCTTCGACGTTTAATTGTCTTTAAAAAAACAGTGGACCTTAGAGGAACACTTAAAGTCTAAGAACTCTTCCCACCTATGGCGTACTACTAAATTATTGTGAGGCAGCGTGGATAATTGATAGATCAATCTCTTACTTACAATGGAAAGCTTATCATTCTTATGGATGTATTAACGGACATCTACACCTGAGATATTATCTCCATTAGCTAAGTATAGTGGAATCGGCGGAAGGCAGAGCGAAACGCTGAGGCGGACTGTGACATCACATCTTCCACTATGCCCCAGCTCGAAACTCACGAAGGTGAGGCAAAGGCCTAGTTAGGATACTGGGATAATATCTTGCACGTTCTACATTTGAGCTCTTAAAAAGCACAACAAGAGCAATGGTCGGACTACAATAACCTGGTAGACGCATTAAAGAGTACCTATGTGTATTTCTAATTTAGGAAAGCCGGTTCTCTCCAAAGCAATCTTTTTACGTTTATTGAATAATGTTGTTGTCTTATCTTATCTGAAGTATGGAAGTGATTTTGTCTAATCTTGTAACTTATATTTGTTTGTTAGTTGTGGACTGAATATGCAGTCACTACCACTACTACACCTCCTATCTTTGATAAATGTGTGCAATAAAATCTTAAAGGTAAAGTAACAGCGCGATGGATATGATTTTCAAATATGGTTACCTAATATTACTAAACCTTTTTAAATACATTTACGAAAACTATAAAAAAATTCTTATCTCTTCTAAACTCCACATAATAAATGCGCCCTCGCTGAACTTAAAGTAAATATAGTATAAATATATAGTAAATATTTGCACGAATTTCAAAGCTTGGCTGTAACCTTGAGGCTGATCTTGAAAGTATAAATCCAAATATTTAATAAGTATTTATTAATTAAAAATATCGGGCTGAGAACGTCTATCGGTTAATCAGGGTAACATACGTTGTGGAAACTCTTGCCAGCTGCATAATTTCAATTTCGATTTCAAAAGCGTCGGAAATAATATTCCGTCACATTGGCGGTGAACTAAGTTTTAGATCCTGATTAGTATTTTCAAAAATTTTAATTTTTTTTTAATTTTTTAATTGAATTTTCTCTTTTATGTTAATTAGTGTTTAGATGTTTTGTTTTCCGAACGCGTCCATATTCAAAAGCACAATTAGAGATTGCGTAACAAATCTTAAGTATTTTCCTTTAGCGTTTTGTTAGATAAACGTTTGTACCCTGTAGGCAACAAATCCACTTCGAAAAAATATTTATTGACTTTTGCCGAAAATACGAAGCAATGCTGCTCCATCCAAACTTATTCCTTCCTCACTTATTTACGTTTGTGCCAATAACCGTATACATATTTCGCTCGTCTGCCTTTACCTATAAGGAAAAACTGAATTTATCTATTTCCAACCTGCAGATCTATTTTTTTTTTTGTTATAAAAGATAACGACTTCAATCTTAAGGATAAAATCATTATTCTACATACATACATATATGTTAATATTATTACTAGATAAATTGTCATAATAAAAGTATTTAATTTGGATCATTTCGTTTTTGAAGTTCCAAATTTTCCATTTTGGCTATTTATGGCTATCTATGTGATATGCTTTTTACGTAAAGCTCTAAAAAACCGTTTTAACTTTAGCTAAACTAGGTTGTAACACATAGCCATAACTGTAATTCTACAATCAAAATCTTTATTTTAACTTTGTTCACTTTTCAATAAAAACGTATTTTTGAAAATATATGGTCTAATGCAGAATCCTTAATGGATTCATAGTACATTATGTACTGTTGTATGACAAAGTAGTTAGAGTGATGGAAAGGTTATAATTTGAATTTTTGCGTTTTGATTTTAATATTGATGTGAGCTTTGACTGTCACTTAACTAAATGTAGATTTTTATAATATATATATATATATGTACATATGCATGTATATACTAGTTCGTGCCAAACCTACATTAATTCTTTACTTTAAAAGTTTAACAATATCATACGCAGGTATTTCTAAGAACATACATACATACATATGCGAATGCGAAAATACAAATTGAAAACAATTGTAAGGTAATATAATACATATATATATATATATATATATATATATATATATATATATATATATATATATATATATATAATATATGTTCGGATTGTCATATCGTTAGATTGACAGCAGCGTCTACGACGTGATAGACTTATAAAAATCATATTTCTCGTCTACTGCGTTACGCATCTGGTAAACGTTTTGGAATAAAACCTGCAAGTGGGACAATCGCGAACACACAATTGTCCTCTATGAATGTCATTCCTACATGTGTAAATAAATATTAATTCGCACAATTTGGAAACATTTATAAATGCGATACTACACAATACCTTGACTATAGATATTTCATTGCCTTTATTGTATATACATACATATATACCTCAAAAGTGACATCGCCTAAAAGATCAGAAATGTTGCGGAAAAGTAAAAAAAAAAATTGTTGACTCTGGTGGTCTTTAGTAATCAGGATTGCATCGAATATAACTTTGTACTGACTGAAGCTCGCAATTTGTGGATACTCGTACGGAAGCGTCGTTGAGTTCTGTCATGCACATGCAGTTTTGAAGAAGATTGGTCAGCTTAAAAAAATTGCAATTTTTCCGAGTAAATAGATCAGTTCCAGGTTCATTTTACGAACAAAAGTTAAATTTCCTTTCCTAAAGATCGTCTCCTGGCAATTGCAAACGGCTGGCCGAATAACTTTTTTCTCCATTTCTCTACGAATAGATAATGATTTCAATTTTGGGTAATATTTTCAAATTAATACAATACAAAATAATATATATTTTATATTATTTTTCTATGCTCGTACATATGCATATGTGTATGCGCTTATGGCATACTCTTATATGCTGCCTATAGAATATTCATAAAATAATAGTGTAATATGCTCATTGAATGTTGGCAATAATTCGGAAATGAGTTGGTATGCAAGCCACGTTCTCGACACTTGAGTTAATAAAAATAAATTATTTGCGTTGTCAACTAAACATTTTCAATTTTTTTTCCTCAATGTACACATGTTAAAACATAACTTATACGAGTATATACATATGTACATACACATATATTTATTTTGTTCTGATTTCTATCAAACAAAAACCTGCTTTAGAAATTCAAATGCTTATTATTTTTAAAGAGTAAAATCTTCTAATGAGTTAGAAATTAACTTTTAATGACCCTTAAAAGACGGGGCATTGCATTATATTATAAGGGTTATATGGAACCATATATACACACATATGTATATAGAGGCTTAATACCTACTTGATTTGCTCTTTGTTAAAACTTTTGATTTCAAAAAGAATTACTCAACAATTCTAGTGCCATGTATTTCAATGGCTTAAACGGCCTGGAAACTGTAAAGCCCAAGAACAACAAGCGTTATTTGTTAACTAAAAAATATTTAATATTTTTATTGAATAAGTAGTTCGGGGTTTGTAACAAACATTTTCATTTCAACGTATATATGTATATATGAAAGCGTAGTGATCAATGCATACCGATAACTGCAATACGATTTATATACGCGTATGTATGGATATGTACACACATACGTATTTAGGTATGAATTTACATATTTACTTATGATTCTTTATACGCGTGCCTTCATGTGGCTTCGACAGTGGTGCGTACCGGCTTTACCCACATCTAGCGAGACTCGCGAGTATGACAAACTCAGATGATTCCAAGAAGTCAAGTATTAATCATCAGCAAATTGTGCGAGAGGGCAGGTATGTGGTTCCCTACAACATATCGTAATATTCATCGATCGTAACATTTTTATTGTCGTCAGTGTCTGCAGAACGGGTTAAACAACACTTTCTTGAGTTTTCGCAAAGTTAACTATTGCTATTAGCGCTCTCAACAGATATGTCGAGTTCCATAACAAAACAAAATCCCAATGCATTGGAGGGCCAACAAGTAAAGAGCAAACAATAATCACAATAACAAAGCGAATTCTTGTATATGTAGTAGACTCTCAATAGCGGGAGTACACGCTCGCCGAAACAGCTGGAGCTAATGCCGACACGACCATTGACAAAGGCATCAACAAAAACTAGAAAGCTCCATAATCATATTCTCCCACCGAAGCAGCTTTCCGGCGGCAAGCTAACGATCAGTGGGTGACTTGTACTGCCGCATTGTGTACGTCGTGGTGTCAGTTTATTTTCGCTTGCTGCGCTGGGCGGTTGTGTTTCTTAGCCGCGGTGAATCCGTTTTCATTTCTATTTGCAAAACATTTTTTTAAATTTAAACGACAAAGTTTTATATATAATGAAGAAGTGTATACAAAGCGCTGGGTAATTTAGAGCGGTTTAATGAGACATTTCAATCTGTTCGATTAAAGCCGGTGCGATTACAAATTAAGAGACATATAAATATACTTCATACCAATCGTCGAATCGCAGCAGTTTATCAAAGCAAAGTGAATTTAGTATATCCCAGTTTATTCAGTTGCATCGAAGAAAAAAGCTGCCACTTCAAATCCAGTTAATAGCGATTGCAATTGTGTAAGGAATATTATCGTACTTATCTTTAACTTCATGTAACTCAAACACTGTCTACTGCATGAATATGGTTGTTGGTGGCACTATTATATCATTGAGTCCAAGTGATTAACAAATTTAGACGGTTATGTATAATAATAATGATTAAAGAGAAGTCGGTTCAATAAACTGAACACATAAGTGTTACCCATGATTTAGACGGTGTTTACATAAAGGAAATATATTTCTACAATATATACTTAGAGTAATTTTTCTATTATCGACAAAACCTTTATTGTTTATTTAAATATTAGCCCTGTTTATTAGTGTGTCATTTTGTATTTTCATAATAAAAAAATAAAGTCTTTCTGGTTGAAGAAGCTCAAAATATAGGTATGTGATTCGCCTGCAAAGTTTAAAAAACAAAGTGTTCAATAATACTGCGGTCGAATATTTTCCCTGTCGATGTGAATAATCTGTTTTCTCAGTCAGCTCTCGATTATCTCTGATACCGATAGCCTTGAAATGCCTAGTAAATTTTTTTTATCATAGTCAAGTAGTATAGCTGTAGATTGTCCTTGAAAGTGCTAGAAAGGCAAAAAAGCTTTGATAACGATAGGTATCGTATCGTAATAGCTTTCTGACCATAGATTCGTAATCTTATCACCAAAATGGCCAGCAAAAGTTTGAATGTATTGTATACAAACAATTACTCAACAAGATCAGAAAAATATTTCAAAATGTTTTGAAGTAAACTTGGAAACCTCAATTTTATCAAATATTTCTGTTCAAGGAGGCGCTAAGGCACAATGTTTGATATTTAAGAAGTATGTGCATTTCTTATCTTTAATTTGTATTTAAACACATTAAATGCTTGGCAGATAAATACAAATACATGCTGATTTTACCTGAATTTTTCACAGACCTTCAGTCAACCAAATTAACTAGGCATACATACCAATCCCCATATATGTACATACATATATTCATATGCGTACAAAAATTCTATTACTATCTGAAAATATTTAATAAAGTTTAATTATTTGACAAAATGGCGAATGATAGGTCGAATTCTTTAACTTATTCATACCGATTGTGGGAGGCATTATATACACATATACATATATATAACTTGTATGTACATGTATTACATGTACTCGCTTGGTTCGATTCATTTCCTGAATTTATTCATTATTTATTTATATAGATATGTTTTTACGCCTGAATCTTCTTATGTAGACCCATACACAATACTTTCTCTCATAAATTAATCTTGATTAATGCGTCAAACGTCAGGATACTCGAGCAGATGACCTTAAGTGTACGAATACAAAAACACGTTCACGTTCATTTAAATAAAAATTTAAATGTTTTTAACAAAGGACTTTGGAAAAACTTGTAACGCTTAATACATTCTACTTATACGTCATATACGTATATTTCTCAATTACAACTCATTTGGTATCTATATACATATTTATTTATGTACATTTCTAAGTGTATGTATATATACTTACATTTAATAATTATAACATTTCTTCGCAAATAATTGGGGCTTCACTAAGTCAAGTGAATGGAAATGAGTCATACACATGTGTATGCATATATGTGTGTGTATGAATGCTCGGATGTGTACTCATTTGTGATATTTGACGGCTTAAAGCACATCATTTAGTTCTTTGTTGCATTCAGGAGACAAAAGATTCTTTCATATTGATAAAAAATTATTAATTGTACTCTTATAACTTTCTCTTGGATAAGTATATTATTAATTTAAGCAATACATAGATTCCATTTTGGTTTAGAAGCGCTAAAAGTAATTGCTTGGAACCGCGACTTGGACCTTCCTCGACATTGCTATGCTAACTGTTTTCCAATCAATTATTTGTTGAAAAAAAATTTGTTTTTAAATTTTTAATTTTCATTTTACCTCCCAAGGGGCTTTCTTTCAAAATTTTGAAGAGCGTAGGGCCTTTTCAATTTTCATTCATTTTGGTGGACTACCGCCTAAGATCGAGAAAAATATAGTGAAACGTACTTACCTTAATTAAAAATTAAAAATTATATTTTGATAGTCACTTGTGGTGTTACCCATTTCACTTGAGTCGGAAATAGTACATAATTCAACCAACTTATTTATACACTTTCTTATATTATGTATGTACAAGTATCTGTACCGTATCCATACATACGTACACGTACGTACATAAAATTATTCAAAGAACGTTTTTACTGGAACTAAACTGCTTGCTAAATGCAAAGCCATAAAGTTCATAAAACAAAAAAATTAAAAATACCAACTTCAGCTGCGTTTTTGCTACAGAGCCAATACATACATACAATTTATATAAATGTACAAATACACGAACAGCTTAAATTAGAAGCGTAGAAATAAATGCATTCATAATGATTATTTTCGTACACGCTTATAATATTCGTATGTGTATTTACAGATGCATGCAAAAAGCCAAAGACTACACTAACCGTGGTTGACCTTAAACTTCATAGCTGACCTTCAATCCTCAACAATAATTACAAATACGGGTAGTTGATTCTATCTAAAGGGGTTATACATGAGTGTTCATATACATATATAAATTTATTCATTATTATTTTTTATAGATACAAGCATGTATGTATGTATGTCTAAACAAATAAATGGGAACTTAAATCTCCATACTGGATATTTGACTGTTTTAGGGTTCGGAGAGCGCAAATCGTTGTTCTGATCGGCCGTGTTTGAACTCATAATTAGAACACTTGTTGAATGGCTCATAGTCACCACATAGACTGTCCAGTTTTGAAGTGTTCATTATTTTTCATATACATATGTACAGTATTATCTATTTTGCGGTTTCGGAAATATAAGTAAATCTTCACACTTTTTTTATGAAACTGCCTTCTATTAAAAGTTTAACATTGGAATTATATGTGAAACACTACATTTTTCAGGTAATTTTCGACCACATATTAAGCGGATCTCAGCCATTACTTCACAAATATTGGTTTTCGAAGAAACTCTGCACGATCTCGGTGACCAATTGACACCGTCTAGACAACAGATTACGTGGCCTCTCGCAATAAAGCGATATTCGCTCATGTTGTGTTCCATATAGCACCACCTTGGTAAAATCGCATATTGTCCATGGCGTGTTCTTCTAAAAAATTGGTTATTAATTGGCAGTAACAGTCTGGCAGTTGTCGTTTTCAAAGGAGTAAGGTCCAATCACACCTACTGAGCAATGAGCGAATCAGAGAGAAATTTTGTCAATTATTTGAGGATTCTCGGTGCCCTGAGTGCTACAATATTGCTTATTTCATTCATTCTCCGAATGAGAAATGTGCCTCTGCGCTGAATATAATTTGGTTTGAAAAATCTGAGACCACTGCTTATTGTTCGAGCATCCTCTCGACGTGTGTACGTCGTTGTGAATGGTCAGCAGATTTCAGCTGCTGTTTCAGCTGGACTTTATATGCATGCAGATGGATATCGATTTAACTCTAAGTGCATAATGCGCTATAGTGTGCAGTAAGAAAGTCCTCTCACCTGGAAACATCAAAAAACAGAAACATTCGGGTACCCAGTAGCGATATTTGAGATGGTATGAGCGAAACGATGATGCACGTGCCTTACAACCTCTAAAACCGATTAAGTGTCCTCAAATTTCTTTAAAATGTTACCAATTGCTTAAATAGCTGGATGATTATGTACACCATAACCTCTTCTTTTTAGTATATTAATTATTTTCGTTGTGCAGTTGTTATTCGATCCATTTTCATAAATGCCTGACTTTTAGCTAAAGCCAAACATGTTTGGTTTGACAGTTTAATTTGAGAGATGTCAATATACAGCCCTGTACTTTTGAAACCACGAAATGAATAACCCTAACTAATTGACCGTTACTAGTTAAAACTCTAAAGATTGAAATAATTTTTTTACCCAAAATGCCAATTGGATTAGCTCGAATTTTTTAGTAGGACCAAATTACTATACCCTCAGCAGTTTAGTTTAGTTAAAAAGGAATCAGAATTAAAGTATATAAATTGTTCTCGCCATATAAGCATTGTATATGTGAGTATGCTGTTCATAAGATATTTAATTGATGAAGCTTTTTGTAAAATTTCATGCTTCGATAATTTATTTTATTACCTGACCAACAATGAACTGAGATCAAATTACCCGATTAATGCAAAAACAATGTATTCTACATATGATGTACATATAAATATATATATAATAGGCGCTTTGTAATCGCTGAAGCGATTTTTCGGCCGAGCTCTTCCTCCAATTTGTGGTTTTGCATCTTGATTTTTTCCAACAAATGGAGGGTCCTACAGTTTGCACTAAGCCGCCTCCGAACGTCTGTTGATTATTAATGAGAAGCCTCTATTTCATGTCCGAGGAGCGACCGCAATTAGAAAATTTAACTCAATTAATTTAATTCATTTTCCATGACTTTTGATGTTGCTGGCACCGGGATATAAGCCCGGGCCTTCCGAATGTCAGTACGCTAACCACTCGGCTACCGCTGTACATATGGACATATATATTATATAAATTCATTATTAAATACAATCACAAATATTGTTCTAATATATACTTTATGAAATTGAGCGTTTTTGAAACCAAACGAGATTAGACTTTTCGTAGGCCCAAATAGTCTTTCAAAAAAATGATATTGACATGAAATTTGTCGTAGATATCAGTAACAGTGCTGCCAACATTAAAAACGAATTAACTGGAAATATTAAACGCGCGAAGCTCAAATTTAAAATTCTTATGGTTTGCACAGTAGTACAAACCAATCATGGATAAATAGGCATTCTGCATGGAAAATTTGTCACAACTTGTGTCCCTTACTTTCCATTTTTCGGTATGCCGAGAACCGCACTGAATCCTTGAGATTTTCAATTAAAATTTAAAGATGTTTTAAAACACTTACAGTCCTATTCTGTCGAGATAACAAAATTTACTTTGCTATTAAAATTTACCTTTCAGTAAATTTTGTTACCATTTCGTATTCTGAGTTCACTGTCACTCTGTAAATTTTGATACCAGCGAAACAGGAGGTAAGAAAAATATCTGCTGTTTGATTTTGTGTTGTAAATTTGAGAAAAAATAAAAACCAAAATGGGTAAACATATTTTAGGCCTGGAATTCATTGAAGATGAGGAAAAAAGTGCAAAAAGTCGTATTTTAAGAAGTTTTCGAGACTAAAAATAGCTCTTTAATTTGGAAGATAACATTTTCATTCAGCTTTTTTGTTGTCCAGGCATACATATTTTCCATAATTAGGTTCAAATATTTATGATTTAATAAAAACTTATTGATTTTTTGCGCACCGTCTTCCATTTCAATGTGAATATTTTTGACATGGACAAACATTGTAACCAGTTCGCCAGAATACCAAATTCAATTTCGGGTGTTAAAAAAAGTAAATTTACTTTATCGGTAACACTGAGAATAGGGCTGTTAGTTTTACTCTTTTATTCATTACGAAAAATTTATTGTGTGTTGCCCTGAAGTTGATAGGGAAACATGAGTTGGTCCGCGGCAGTATCACAATGGAGAATTTTGTAACCACTCCAATGCGATACATTGGACCAGGTGGCAAGTATTTACAAACCGTGCTTTGAACTGCATAGGTTATGTATGCATTTTTGAAATTTATAAAAACTTCAAGTGGATTCTCCTACAAATATTTATACATAAACACATCTATACACATGTAATGTCTTTATATTCAACTTATGTACATACATACATACAATACAATACAATATACATATATGAGCTAGTACTTCATAATGAGTGTGTTTCGTGCAAATAGAAATGACAAAAAAGTGGCGCTCCTTTTAACTGACGCATGCCAAACAAAGAATTGACAGTGGCCGAGACATTCAGCGCAGTTAGTCTGTGTCATGCCTTTGTTTTCATGCATTCGTATCACTAAAATGTATATATGTATATATTTACATATTTACTACTTATATGCATATGTAAGTTTATACAAATCACATTTAACTGCATTGTCTAATATGCGGACATAATTATATATTATATATATATATTATATACAAACATATTATCCACATTTCCAAATTGTTAAGCAACACTGTTTTTGGTCCACCTCACCTTCTAATGAATATTTAGAAAGCGCGTTTAAACCATATTCCAACGCTCTTATTAGCAAAAATATTTCCAAAAGTTTTTGAACTTGCCTAAGTAGTTTTCGAGATATTTCAACTTTAGATCCAAAATGATCAAAAACCTTCAAAAAATTATAAATCTGTTTCAAGTTACAAAATGCTGTCGGCTTATGTAATTCAATAACCATAGATGGCAATTTTCAAACATTTAGAAAAATTGTTTGCATTTGCCCAAAACTTGTTCCTCGGGGGCTTTTGGGGTTGCTGATTACCATCGGATTTCATGTCAACAACACCAAAACTCTCATGAATACTCAAAATTCAAGTATTTGTACGTATTGCACTTTTAGGTTGGAATATCTCGCTTGATGTGTTGGAACTGGATTCGGTTTCAGCACATCAAACCCCATCGGAAAAGTATAGTCCTGTTCCTGGTTACATAAATTAGTAAATTTTTTTTGGCCTGTGTTATTTGATTTTCTAGAAAAGTGTTCTCACTAGTGTGGTCAGTTGCAGAAATATAACGTCTTTCTTATGTGGAGAAAACACTACGATTTTATAGAAATATTTTTATTCTTAATGCTCGTAAAATTTTCATATAGAAAAAATAGGATTATTATTATCAATTAGTATTTTTACATACATACGTGAAACTTTGTGTGAATAAACATTTCTATTGAATATTATAGTTACCTTTCAAAATCAAAACTGAACAAAAAACATTTGGCAGCCATTCAATGCTAAACACACACTTACGATTCGAAAAGGTTAAATACTTGTAAATTACATTGTAGGTATTTTATAAATAATTTGTAAATAAATACTTACATTCGCATGTACATATGTAGGACTTTGGCAATTTCGTTTACATAAGCTGGCGGACATTTGATCACATGATTCCATATAAATCTCAACGGTATCTCCTATCAAAGCGACCTATTTAGATTTAATCAGTACAAACCCCCTCTTTCCCTTTCTAAAGAGTGCTTTTCTGTTTCCATGCAAATGTTAAATGCAACAATAGTCGATTTTCACTAAAGTTCACGAACACCGCCACAAGTGCCTACAAGTGGGCGGCAACGGTATTATTAGATCCAATCCAACAGTCTTCCGCTGCTGGAAATAAGCCACAAATATTGTCGGTGTGTGTGGTTTTAGTGTTTTGCTTTTAGAAGCAATGTAATTGCTGCAGAAGCAACAGCAACAATAAAAGAAAAGAGAACTCCTTTATTTCTATGCCAGTATTTATAGCATTCTTAAGGTGCAAGTGCTTGCCTGTCACCACAAGTATACACATCCGCATATTATACATATTTACATATATACGAATATATGTATGTATATGAGTGTTAATTTTTAGGCACATTTTTATACCCTCTTTAAACAATTACTTACCCTTAAACTTAAATTCAAGTTTTGATGTACAGACATACGTGTACATACATACATTTCCGTTTTCAGCTGCGATTGTGTCCACTTGACACATTTAGTGATTCGTGTTTCGAATATTTGGCGACAAATTCAGATCGTTTTAAACGGTGCAACATTTTAAATTTTATGGCATTTTAAATTTTACTATGCGGAAAGGAATGGGTTCGAATCCTCGCCCGACAAACTTCGAAAGTTATAGAAACTTAAATTTTCCAATTGAGGCCGTCCTTCGGCAGGGAAAGTCAAGTCCTCCGACTATATTTCTGACATGAAATTATAAGTCCCCGTTGCTAAATAACAATAAAAGTAACAAGATTTCATTATTAAGCCAACTGCATTCCAATAAACATGAAAAGTAAGATGGCATCGTATCGTGAAAATTAATCACTCGAAATTTAAGTTCTTATAAATATTAAAGAAAAAGAAAAACCTAAGTGACCATTTTGAATTCCCTATATTTATACACAAATATTGATATAAATATATAACTTCACCAAAAATCACATATTCTGTTTTTTTCTTATTTTTTCAGATTGTTCAAATCGTTGAAAAGTAAAATATTCCATCAGCGGCCGTTTGTTGTAGTCCGTAGCGTTCCATTGTGGATTCATAAAAAATAAATAAAATAATATATCAATTTTTAATTAACATCACACTGGTCATAGTGGTAGCCAAATTGTTCTTAAATAAAAAATGTTACATCGCTTTTCGGGGAGAGAAAGGATTGGTCAGTGTACAACGATAGCAAACGAGACGGGCTTTCGGATCGATTCCGAGCGAAACCGAACGATTAAAGAATACATTCAGCAACAATCAGACGTCGTATCTACTATCAAAATGCGCTCCTGCCAACAGTGTTCAGTATTTATAGCTTTAGCCGTATTTCTAGCCCTAGTCACAACTGTTTCCTCCAATCCTGTACAAACAACGACGCAAGCCGAGGTACGTACCATACACAATACTTGTAATACTTATAATACTAAAAATAAGAGCTATAGGAAAATTAAAAAAGAACACATAAAATTCAGAAAAATTTATGAAATCTTTATTTGAATCGATAGCACGGTCCATATAATTTAATGTTTAAAACTATTACATGCAAATGTAGACCGTGACTGCAACTCAAAAGACCCATCCGCTTAGTACAATTTTGGCATACTCTTCCCAATATTTCGGACGGTATCTCACGAATAAATGCTTCAATGTTGTCCACCAATGCGTCAATTGAAGCAGACTTGTCCGTATAGGCATGTGGAACCGTCTCGTTGAAACCACATGTCATGCAAGTCAAGCTCTTGCATTGTGGGCAAAAAAAAAGTTTGATATCCACTCACGGTAGCGCTCAGCATTCACAGTTACGTTACGATTCGCATAATCTTTGAAGAAGTACGGTCCAATGGTGCCACCAGCCCATAAACCGCACCAAACTGTGACTTTTTCCGGATGCATTGGTATCTCTTGCAATGCTTCTGGCTGATCTTCACTTCAAAATCGACAATTCTGCTATTTACGCCGAGAATGAGGTTCGGAGCGATGAACTTTATTAACAGAGCATCCATTTTGATAATAAAATTCAATAATTCGCGAGCGTTGTTCGTTTGTAAGCCTATTCAGGGTTAAATTATAGACCCATCGGAAGATGTTTGACAGTGATACAAAACACGTGAGGTGCGTCAGCTGTTTAAACCAGTGTTGCCAAAAAGATAGTAGCTAAAAACCCACCCTTTCGTAATATTAAAACTTCAATTTTGAGTAACTAAAGTGCTTAAGTATACATATATCTACATATATAAATACATATATTTATACAAAGATTTGTACTGATAGATAAGACTTAGCTTTTTGTCAAATGATACCTGTTGTTAATATAGTCAAAATATTGTATCTTCAATAACAACGGGAACACTTTAACCCTCCATGATTCTCATATTTAACTAGTGCTTTGTTTGTCGAAATTATTTTACTTCACTTCTCATCTAGCAAAATCCACCTACTCTTATGTGCAAAAAAGTTTTCTATCTATGTCAAAGCATAACGGTGAGAGTGTTTTAGAGATACATATATATATACATATACATATACTGTACATACATGTGTACATGTTTATACAAATATGTGTGAGTAAATGATTCATATTATTTTGTATTTGTTTTGGAACTTTGTAGGCAAAAAAAAACTGTTAACAATAAAAAGTGTCGAACAATAGAAACATTTTTTGTAACTGTTTATAAGGATATAAAGAAGTATATGGAAAATTCCACCTCATAATAATGAATACTTTTTCATAGAAAAATTCAAGCAGCCTTAATCATTTACGTAGAAAGCTTTTTAAAACGATCCTTTAGATAGTAGTGTCATACAAACATATATATGGTGTTATGTATGTCTGTTAGAAGCATGTGATTTAATTATCCTGGCTAATTGATAAAGAAAGGGAATAGAATAAATATTTATTGGTTTCTTGTGTTAATAATGTCAATCAAAATCGGAATAAATAAATAATTATTTAACAATTGCCATAAATATGCATATGTACCTACATTTGTACGTACATATAGTCACAAACTGCATTAGCTACAAAAACCCGCCAGCAACACATTCTAGAAAATAACTTAATGATCTTAGCTTTTGGGATTAATGATTCATTTACAATGCTTTCTGAGAATTTAATAAATACTGCCATTAAATATCATTACTAACGTTTCCACCAAATACTTTGCATTGGTTGGCCATCAATTGAAATTCATCACAAATCATTATAACGTTAGGTGGCACAACAAGGCCAACAAATATACGAAAATAGTAAAATTGTTGCATGACTGAGAGATAAGTGTGCACTTGCATATTGTGCACATTGAAGTATTTATTAAATGTAATTAGAAATTTCCACTTCCGATTTGTCCGATTACTCCATATAAACGTGAATACTGATGTGTACACACTCTCACACACTATGACTCTGCCTGTGCGTGTAAATTACAATATGATCAAGCAGTTGTTATTAGTCGCCAAATGCATTTTATTTGCAGTAAAAAAAACATTTATCACCAAACGAGACATTAAAGGGGAAAATTTTGTTGAGTAGCTGAAATGCACTTACACCGACCGCCTTTCTAGTACAATAAAAGTTAAAATTCTTAATTATTGAATCCCGAATAACTCTCCGCATGTTGTTATGCGAAGGATCATGAACTCGAACTCCGGTCATATCAGCATATAAAATTACGAAAAAACTCTTTTTGTAAATTCTGGCGTCCCTCATCTCTGAAAAAAGCCATCAGCCGTTCGGAGGCTGCTTAAAACTGCAAGTCGCCAGCTAGATGAGTCGATCTAACGTGCATATGTAAATGCAGTTATGTTTTGTAATCCCTCTCACTATCTTCATGAGTCTGCGTAGTTAATAAAGCGCTATTAATCGTGCCATCAGACGGGCCAGCACGTGACCGGCACACCCGGAGATAATTCACGAAATATTGTAGATAGAATGCGAGGTGAACAAAGATTTCTAGGCAAGCACGTATACACGTGTAATATATATCGGTTGCTTAGACAGATTTGCGTTGTGTCATGCAATTATTTTTATAGATATTTATTGCATGCATGACAATGTGCATTCGTGCCAGATATATATATATGATATATATATATATATGATATATATATATATATATATATATGATATACACTCAGTGTTTCTGAGTGTTGAATTTACTCATTAATTTCTCATCTCCAGCTTTAAATCGAGTTCAGCAAATATCTGCCCTACCCGAAAAATAGTTCTGGACAAAAGTGGGGGGGGCGAATGGTGTTGCAGAGCTAAAATAAGTAAAACACAGACATAATAAACCAGATAAGGCTCTATTGAAGAAATACTGATTCCATCGCTTACCAACATCTTATAGCATCTGCAAACTTAGTCGAAACCATTGAAATTTCAGCATTTTCTACTTAATTTTAAATACAGAAACTCAATTTTGCTTATAAACTTTCGTAAGCCAAAACAAAACTTATTCATGGGATCTCGTGTTATAGTAGTTGGTGCGCCTTTCAAAATCATTGCAGGTTACGTATACGCAGAGGATCACCTAATTTGATTGGTATCAGTTCAAAAGACTTCAATTTTGTGCATGTTTGCACAGCTTTCTAAATTGGAAATACCTATCATATTAATAATATATTATTAGATACATTGCTTCGAAATATTATTTTCTTTTTTCTTAAAATTCTATTCAAATTAACTTTTCTTGCAAATATTGCTATCTCTGATTTTCAGAATGATTTAGCCACGTTTAGCTGTAAACAGGCTTACAAAGTTAAATCACGTTTAGAAAATATTAGTTTTGCCACTTTTATACCTTACAAGCGCAAGTTTCCTACGGCGACTGCAAAAATATTTAATTAATTCATTTTTTAATAAATTTAAATGCAAGCTTTATTGATATTCGTCAGTACATTTACATATATGTATGTGTGCTTATAATAGACATTCTCTGTTGTAGTGTTTGGTTTGTTATCACGATAGCCGACTGGTTAGGGGTTGTTGCTGTCACGCATTATATTCGCGGTTCAACTGTCCCTGCAAGCATTATTTTCTTTATTTTTGCAAAGTATAAATTCAGCTTCCATAATTGAACTAGTAACCAACTAGTATCAAACTGGTGCATGAATGAAAAATTCCTTTTTTTAACATTTCCATATTGATTCAAGGAAAGATAACGGAAGTAGTGAACAAGTAAACAAAAAGTATGATAATTAACTACTATTAACCAGTATCTTTCCTCGCAGGGTTGACTCACCTGATTTGAACGCTGTAGTTCTACATAGTATTCAAGTTAGGATCTACTTACTTTTTTATGCATATATGTAAATATACAAACTATTATATATACACATTTTTAACGTGCACGCAAGTTTTTGTACATACATATGAATCGTAAAATATACTGTATATCACAAGTGGCGTATTGCATGATTTGCCTCCATAAAAATACCACATAATATACATATGTACATACATATGTGTGGGTATTAACATATGGATCAATATACATATGTATATAGATTATGTATGTATATACCTACGAGCATTACATACATAGGTAGCAGTATATATTTGCCTAATTATCATTTTTACGAAGCTGCTGAGTTTAAATTGAATAGTAATAAACTTTATTAAGTTCAAAAATTGACATTTACCTTTATTTGATATGCATATATGTAAGTGTCATATATTAATCATTCATATGACCACCACTCAAAATTTATTTGGACTCATGCATTTGGGTGAGCTTGGATTTGAATACTTAAAACTAACATTGTGCTGTATGTTCAATATATATCTTACAATGGAACTGTCAGCGACTAAGATATTCTATTTCAACCCAGCAAAGGCAGTAATCAAACTTCAATTGCATATTTACCAGCTTTAATCTGTTTAAATATTTACGACAAAAGCTCCTAGTTTGTACCAAAACCACTAGATTCGTTAAATAATGAATTGGGCTGTAAATAAGCACAGTACATAGACTTCTGATAATATATAATAATGGACACATACATTTTATGGTAGCACATACCTATTAGTATTTTATGTAAATATTCAATTTGAAAGCTTTCCTAATAGACTTCATGATACAAAGAAATAATCATCGCAATATGCCACACAATCTTCTTCAGAAAAGCAACTGGAAAAATGTTCTCGCCTTGTGCGAAAATATGAGACTATCTATTAGTTTTACCCTTCAAAATCTCATGATTTAATCTTGACCTGGGTCTAAAAGCACAGAAACAGCCACCACGCTAAAAAAAAGTGAAACAAAAATCAAAATAACCCGTAGCCGGTAAATGAGAAATCAGCCGTCGAAGTGAAGGATTATTCAAAAATAAATGTCCATTTTATGGTTTCAAAGGTACAGTGCTACATTTTGACATCTGTCAAACTAAATTGTCATACCAAACATGCTTTATTTTAGCTAAAAGTCAGCCATTTATAAAAAGGATCGATTTAAAAACCGCAAAACGCATTAAAATTATTTAAACCTACTACGAAAATGGCTATTCAAAAGTCGCCATGTTGCGTGCTTTAAGAGGAGATCACCCAATTATTCAAGCAATTTGTAAAATTTTAAATATCCCTACTATAAATAAAAGGTTCTTAAGAGCTGGGACTTTCTTACGGTACATTTCGGCGAATTTACTCTTAGACTTAGACGTACATACATTCGTCGGTTGGATGCTTGAACATGAATGCCAGGTTCAAACTTCATATATATATATATATATATATATATATATAAATGTAGCATATATATACATAGCTGGCGCTTTGTGCCCGCTGAAGCGATTTTCGGCCAAGCTCCTTCTCCCAAAAGCGGAAGAATCTACATAATCTACAGTTTATACTAAACCGCCTCCAAACGGCTGATGGGTTTTATGAGGCATATTTATTTCATGTCAGAAATACACTCGGAGGGGTTGACATTCCTTCTCGAGGGGCAACCGCAATTAGAGATTTGAACATAATTTTTTTTTTGAACCCAGGCCTTCCAAATGGCAATACGCAATGTTAACCACTCGGCTAACGCGAACGCCAAACTTCAAACTTCACAATTTTATGAAAAAAAATGGTTTTAAATGTATTTTATTTACATTTATTTTCGTAAAGTGGATAGCCCCGTATACACATATGTATGTGCATATTACATATAATATATAATATATATATTTTTTTAAATAAATTTCTGGTCATAAAATTTTTTTTGTGGAATCGTGCCTTTACATAAAATATATCAAATAAATTTAAATAATAGTAATAAGATTTACAAACATTGTATATCAGAGCATTTAACTAGTATTTCTCTGGCAGTTTGAATATTTCCCGGCACGTGAAATCCGCTTACATATTTATATGGATTTTAACTCAACTATTACAGCTGACTCTTAGTTATATTTCTTTTGCTATTGTTAAATAATATATTATACGTGTATGTATGTATATAATGTACACTCACACATATAAACGTACGTCTTGGTGTTCAGGAGCGCATGTGTGATTTGATTTTTGAAAATTCTCACGTAGATCGCAAACATATAAAACAAAAATTATATGGCAATGTTTTGTACCAGTGAATGCATAAGAATCTATACAGTAGGAAGTCTACCTGTTGTTTTAATAAAGAAAATAAATTATCGCATAAAGAATAATAAACAAATGCGATTCAACGCGATTGCGCATTGACTACCAACTTAACATCCGCACAGAGAGTATGCTTATTTACGTATATACATAAATACAATGTACGCAAATATGAGTACATATATGTATGAATGTATTATATTTGTGGATACCATTATTTATACATTTGTACATACATATGTATGTAGGTTCATAGTTATATGCGTCAACCTAAAATCCAAATACACATTAACGTGCATATACTTAAATATACATACATACGAGTATATGCGAATGTGTATGCATGTATGTATTTATCAATATAAATATATACATATTTAATAAGTGTGTTAACATAGTATAATTTAACCACACAAGGGGTGAATGAACTCAAACATGCGCATTTATTCTATATAATTACATACACAGACTCAATTGATAATGTGTACTTAAGGTCCTTTAAGAGGTCTATTCTGTTACTATTACTATCGTATTAAAATTTACCGTTTAGTAAATTTTGTTACCATTACGTATTCTGAGCTCACTCTCACCCTGTAAATTTTGTTACCAGCGAAAGGGGAGGAAACAAAAATATCTGCTTTTAATTTTGGGTTGTAAGTTTGAGAAAAAATAAAAACCCAAAATGGGTAAACATATTTTAGGCCTGGAATTCATTGAAAATGAAGAAAAAAGTGCAAAAAAACCATAGTTTCAGAAGCTTTCGAGACTAAAAAATAGTCCTTTAATTTGTAAGATAACGTTTTCATTGAGCTTTTTTTGTTGTCCAGGAATATTTTCCATAATTAGGTTCAAATATTTATGAATTAATAAAGTTTTATTTAACTTTTTAATTTTTTTGTGCACTGTCTTCCATTTCGATGTGAATATTTTTAATTTAACTTTATCAACTGGCAAATGTAATTTGACATGGACGAAAAAAGCAGTGCTGCCAAATAATTTTTCGCCAGAACACCAAATTCAATTTCGAGTGTTAAAGAAAAGTAACAAAATTTACTTTATTGATAACAGTGAGAATAGGCCTGTAAGTGTAGCCTTACCTAAAAATATATAAATTTTTTTACTATGTATAGTTATTTAGAAATTAATTATTTTCGATCATCGTTAGGGGTATCCATACCGGATTTATTTATTTGTTAGTCGTTATTCGGTAGTAGATTATCGTTCTATTGAGTAATGAAGTACCAGTCTGGCGAGGATGATAGTCTTTTCTTTAATTGCGAACATTCAGCTGTTTATTCTACTTTCTTGCATAAAAATATTATTTGCTTTATTGCGAAATTCAATTTGATGTTTGACAATCTTCGATTAACTCTAATCTTTGAGATTTCGTAGAATATCGTTTTTTTTTTTTTTTTGCAGCAAATGAAACTTAACAATTTGAATACTTTTTATTACCGTTAGATTTATCTGTCGCAATTTGGATATCTGCCTGCTTCAGCTCGAAATCCTGCCAACGGCGGACTACTGGATGCGAGCACGTGGACTAAAGCTGTGCAAGATTTCCAAAGCTTTGCTGGCTTAAATATAACCGGGGATTTGGATGGTGAGACTTTGGAGTTGATGTCACTGCCACGATGTGGTGTGCGAGATAAGGTGGGATTTGGCACCGATAGCCGCTCAAAACGATATGCCTTACAAGGTAGCCGCTGGCGGGTCAAGGCGTTGACCTACAAAATATCTAAATATCCGAAACGGCTGAAGCGCAATGACGTTGATGCAGAAATAGCCCGTGCCTTCAGTGTCTGGAGTGATTTCACAGACTTGTCATTCACTCCCAAATCGTCTGGTCCAGTTCATATTGAAATTAAGTGAGTATTTTTCGTTATTAAATAAATAAATTTAAAACTTTTGAAGCCGTTGTAAGGATTTACTTACTTTGTTATTTCTCGAACTTAGTGAATTACATTCTATTCCTATTCCTTACCTGCTTTAGATTTGTTGAGAGCGAGCATGGAGATGGAGATGCTTTCGATGGTGTGGGCGGTACATTGGCTCATGCATTCTTTCCAGTATTTGGTGGAGATGCACATTTTGATGACGCAGAGCTGTGGACAATCGGGTCGCCGCGTGGAACGAATCTTTTTCAAGTAGCCGCTCATGAATTCGGCCACTCTTTAGGCTTATCCCACTCAGATGTGCGCTCTGCGTTGATGGCACCTTTCTATCGGGGATTTGATCCAGTATTTAAACTTGATTCAGATGACGTTCTAGCCATTCAAGCTTTGTATGGTAAGAAAACAAATGGTGTAGCAGACCGTGGAGGCTTCCCAAAAACCACACAAAGACCAGTATTTTCCCCACCTAAAGTGCCTAGAGATGACATTATTTGCAAAGATCCAAGAGTTGATACATTATTTAATTCAGCTGATGGACAAACATATGCCTTCAAGGGTAATAAGTACTACAGGCTCACCGAAAATTCCATTGCGGATGGATATCCCAAACTTATATCCGAGGGCTGGCCAGGGTTACCAGGTAGGATAATTCAAAATCATTCTAGATATATGTGTGCTTATTTCCGATTTCATAAATAGGAGATATCGATGCAGCATTCACGTACAAAAATGGAAAGACTTATTTCTTCAAAGGCACCAAGTATTGGCGCTACAACGGTCGACAAATGGATGGTGACTATCCAAAAGAAATCAGCGAAGGATTTACTGGAATACCAGATCATTTGGATGCCGCTATGGTTTGGGGTGGTAATGGAAAAATTTACTTCTATAAGGGTAGCAAATTTTGGCGATTCGACCCATTAAAGCGCCCACCAGTGAAATCAAGTTATCCGAAACCTATCTCCAATTGGGAAGGACTGCCAAATAATATTGATGCGGCGTTACAGTACACCAACGGTTATACATACTTCTTCAAGGGCGACAAATACTACAGATTCAACGACAGAACTTTTTCGGTAATTTTTCACACTTTAGAACATATAACAAATAAACTCTTCGTTAATGCCATTGTAATAATTATTTTATTATGTATTAATTGCTTCTTTTCTCAATAGGTCGATGCTGCTAACCCACCATTCCCAAGACCATCAGCTCACTGGTGGTTCGGTTGCAAAAATGTGCCCTCATCAACAGGTAATATTCTTGACAATTCCGAAGAACCACTTTTACACTCGGCATACAACAATGACGAAAATGACGAATCACTACAATTCGATGCAGGTGAGTGGAACCGACCAAGGAGCGCTTTGTGAGAATAAATTCATTATCTGCCATTGAATGAAAAAAATTAGTAACAACTTATAATCAAAGGTTGTTAAGTTTTAAAGATCTCTTATAGAAAATAATTTAATTAAGAAGAATTTTTAATATCTTGAAATATTACAAAAATCGGATCAAAATGGTATGTTATTGTATTAATAGACCACATTCAGTTCAAATGTTCAATGTATAATGTGTAATGTTTAGTTCTTTGTACTCCATATTGTTATTTGTGTTAAACTATTCATTAAACTGAAAATAGACAAATTTTGTAAGTGAAAAGGTACTCATTTGTGTTGTTGGAATTCTTTTAAATTCAACGTTGACTGCTTGAGGCTGAGTCTACGGATTACCTGCTCATGAATTATGCATGCTTCACTAATTCATTTAATGGTCATAAAATTGAAAAATACGAACTAACAATTAGTAAGCCTAACACCACACACCACTTAATATTTCTCTCTATGAGATTATAACGTTGTATGCCAAAATTTAAATGAGTACATACGTGTATATTGTGTTTCATCGTTTACATACAAATCATTACATTAAAACACTAATCTTGCTAATTTGTAAAACGCGCTCGGCAACATAGGTTTTATGTAGTTTGCGTTTATATTAACATACACTTTCATACTAATTCGGATTAAGGACTTCGTAAATAAACATACATATATATATATATACGACTTTTCCGTCATGTGATTCACCAGACAAATATTTGCTCATACTTTCTACGTAATCTGAAATATTCATAGAATGTAAATAATTTAAAATTAATAATTACTAATGTTGCCCTCGCATTACAATAATAACAATAACGATGAATTTGTGCTGTACAATTACATTAATAACAATAACGATGAATTTGTATTGTACCATGTGAAGCTAAAACTTATATTAAAAAAAAGGTGTGTTTTAATATCATGACATGACATAAAATATCTGCCATACATACTCGTAAGTATATGTATGTATATAACATAAAATATATAATATTTATGTCACACGGTTATTGGGCTGTCCATCCATATTCGCATATGTATGTATGTACATAAATATCAAGGTTATCTAAATATAATATAAATTTTAGCATGTCGAATAATATATAAAATAGTTCAAACAAAATCCCAAAATCCCAATACAGAAAGAATTGCAAATCTTGTACAATTTTAAAACACAAGAAAACGAAACTCACAAGTTTCCTCGGAAACAGTAACCTGGTCGGTTTCACTAATCCACGATCGGAGAATAGTGACAATGATTTTAAATACTTATTATAAATATATAATATCACAATACCTACATATATAACAGTACATAATATTACATATAATATACGCACTTGATTTCATTGCACTTGCTTTAACATCTGCCTAATCGATACACAATGTAAACCTCACTGGCTGCACGGAGTTTTTTCCAAATATTTTTTAAAATACTTGCTCGTACGCTTTCTGTAATACAAAGGCGTGGCGCCTTGGACATAGATTTTTCCAGGCATTTCAGAAGGTTTTTTTTATTAATCAAATATTCATTCACTTCCAAACAGCATTTTAACATTACAACTTCCTTTTGGTGACATCAGATCTTATTTATAATAAATATACAAAACACACATTTGTGCATCATTTTTAGTTAGAAACGAAGAAAACATTAGATATATTAAAAAAATAAATGTCATTACTAACATTTAGTGATCAATTAAAACAATTAGAAAGTAAATCAAAAGCGTAACTACTAAAAATCGCATGGAAACTCCCAAATCTTTCTTCATCAGCAACTCAACTGGAGCTGCGGCAATTTTATTTATAATCACATTTTCTAAATAATGTCTTATTATGGCGAGTTGTTACTTCCTTCTGCAATACCTTCTTTCATCAATATGGTCTATAGTAAAGTATTTAATATTCGTATATAGTACACACGTATATAGTAAACGCGTAGTGTGTACATACATATGTATGTAAAAGCTTAATAATGTTTGGTAGTTTATTTTTCATTGATTGACAATTATATTTTTGTGTATTTATTGTGGTATACCCAACGGACTTAACACTGAACTGCTCGCCTAATGGGCGAGTGGGGTGCAATTGAAAAAACAATAAATAATAAAAAGTATTGTATGGTATAATGTTTTATTAAAACTAATTTCAATACGTGCAATTTTTTTATATTTAAAAATGTAAAAGTAATTACGGTTCAGTCCATTTATTTATTTGTGCGCTTCCTTCAGAGTAGAATAGAAAAATTAATTTTATTTCAATATCAAAAAACCGTTTCCTTGCTCTTAAAAGAAAAACCTGAAAAGCTGAAGAACTAGGCAAGGCACGTTTAACAATCTTATATTTTGTGGGCATGGCTCCCACATGTTAGTCATTGGAAAGCTAAGCCACCCTCGTGATTTTCAGAAGAAAAGAAAAACAATAAAGAAAGTTAAAAAAATCTGCACAATTTCAAAAGAAATGAACGTGTTTTTTGAAAAATGCTTGGAAGCCAATACGAATGACGATAGGTTGCCATTGGCGCAAATAAAACGAGTTGTATTTTTCATCCAGAAATTCATTTAAAAACTCGTAACAAATTCATTTTCATTTTCCCTCGCATTAGTTTTTTTTTTACGGTTATTAAGGATAATCTATTAAACGGACGAAAAGACTGGTCACGTCAGTGTCCACTTATGGAAAATTTGACAGAAAAATTTAACAAATGCAAGGAAAAATTAATTCAGCTAGTGGAGGCACACCTTTTTGAATGCTTCGGTGTTTCCTTGAATTTCTGCCAAAATATTAAGTGTGTGAAGATGTTAGAGTTTGCAGAGTTGGTAACTGTAAAAGTGGAGCTGGTACTTCTTATTGCAATGTTATTTCCTATCATTTTGCATGGCTTGAGCACTTCGATACTGTTCTATAATCTTAGTTATTTAGTTATTTCATACATAGCTATTATCTAACATATAACTTGTTGAATTTATATTATTTTGCAGATATTAAACCCCGTGGATGAGATTATATGTAAACATATGTACTTATTTTGTACGGACATACACATTTTCGCAAACATATTTCTATATGCATTGGCAGTTTGGTTAACAAGCCTTAATACACATGTACAAACTTTCATATACATACATATATATTTATATGCACATCCTATAGATCATAGTCAAAATTTTGTTTTTGTTTTAAATATTAAATTAACGATATTTTAACGGCTTCAATTCGCCACTCCTCATAGTGCTACTAAATAATTTTATTTATGTAGTTTCTATTACTAGAAAATTGTATATGGAAGTTTTGTGAATGCCTATGTATATTCGTACATGTACATGTACTGCTATTAGTGGAGGCACACTCATGTATATATGTATGTACATATATCTAAATAAGTAAAGTAAATACGAGTACATATGCATACCTACATGCAGTTTCCAAATAATTCTGTAATTAGTCAATTTGCTTTCATAATTGTAACATATTAATTTTTTATGTGCATCTAGACATATTAATACATATGTGTATGTAGAGAATACGTAGAAATTAGTATTAGTAGAAGTAAAGAATTAGCACTTTTGAATGAGCAAAGTATTTGTATTGTAGTTATTGCAGAAAAAAGTATTGATATTTCTACTCTTTTCACGTAAATCCGGTAGAAAAGGAATACGCTTTAGGCATGGCATTTGAATTCTCTAAGCGGTTTTATACTCTGTCTTATCTCTTGTACACATTTTTGTTGGTGCCAAAAATTATTTACATTTTAAAGCCTGAGTTTTAATTGGATTTTTTATTTTCTACTATCAAAAACCGAAAAAATGGATTTATAAAACAATGTGTTTCCTCTTTTGCCACGATATACTTTTTTATATATTTCACGATTTAAAAAAAATTACTTATGGAAGATGAGAAACCTGGGAACGGCAATATTCCCGGTTGGATGTGGAGCATAGCGAATTCCTTCTTTTAATTAGAATAATAAACTTCCACAACGACATGCATATGAAAATATGAAGTCGTATTAATTTGGACAAAATGAAAATATAAATAAATAAAAGAAATAGTATCATAGCCATAATATTTTTATGTGAAACCAAGATGAGCGTTGAATGTGTACGCATAAAAGGGTATACATATACATACACGTATGCATATCCATATAAATAGAAGGGAGCAGGAAATTTGTGTGTGCTGTGCCGCTGAAATTTAGAAATGCCCATCAACAAAATCATACGAAAATAATTGAACATGTCGGAAATAGGGAGACTGTCGTGACCATCGCTTTCATCATCAAGCTTCTTCATTCATCATAAAATTAAACATATTGCTTTTTGTGTTCGTCAAACAATGTCCAGCTCATGGAGGTTGTGCGCCCTGCAGTTGTAAAAACAGTTGAAGCTGTTCCAATAAAATCACTATTCCGGAAGAAGAAACTGGCGCTTACTTCTGTGGTCGCACCGTCTCCATGCCGTAACCTCGGCTTACTTGTGGCTCATATCGTAAGCCAAACTTGCTTGCCAAATATCATCGCTCATACGATAGAATGGTTGAAAATGTACGTGAGAGTCTTTTGTTTTCGTTTTAAGGAAATATAAATTAGTCTTTAATGAGAGATTCTTTAGTACTATAAATTAATAAAATAATCATAAAATATTTTTCACAACCGAGCATTTACATTTCAAAATTTAAGAAAAAATCTACGGTTTTGGTTAAAGTGAACAAAATTTTCTAAAAGTTTGCAAGAGAATCTGAAATATATACTAACTAATCTCTTAATGGATGTAAATATGTATGTATGTATATTTTTATTAACTTTTTATATAATTTCAATGCTTCTTATTATCACTTACTCATATGAATAAGTATTAGGGTATATATATTTTTCATTTCAAAATATTATATATACACAAGCAAACATACATATTTACATAAATGTTTTAATGTCAACTTCTTGGGGATTGTTTATCTACAATTAACAAAATTCATTATCTTGTACAGAAATTTAACGTAAACAACTAAAATACCGTCATGTTTACTAATCTCCATACAAATTTTCAAATAATTAAATGCATTTTTGCTACAAAATGCAAATTCGGTGCATGAAAACGACTTCGGTGTCATTAAATAAACCCGTTAGACTCACCCAACATTTGCTATGCTCGTTTTGTTGCCCTCAGTTTTTGTATTATGTGAAGACCGGAGGGATAAAAACAAATAACACATTTATAAACTAAGACAATGGCAAAGCGCTCAAATTTTCTGGATTCTCAGAATTCAATTATTTTTAAAAAGCCAAAAAATTTTTTGTTATTTTCAATACATACACATTTCTTTCGCGTCTTATTTCGGGTAAAAATCGAAGAATCTGTGTTTCCGTACTTCTGTACAGCTAAAATTTGTTAAAAAAAAAAGCATTTGAAAGCATCAAGTTCAGTTAAAATGATTACCCCATTTTTTATAATCTAACATGAAATTTTTATTTCCTTTATGAATATTATTATATTTGAGGTCATTTACTTTGTTGGTCCGTTTATTTTGGCTACCAATTTGGAATCAATTTGTTAAATATATTTTACTTGCATTTTAGTTTAACAAAAATATGTCTGTACATTCAGTAAACAGTCCCCAAAATGTTTAAGTTTCATATACATACAATAGGTAAAATAAGTTTTTACATCCTGTTATTGCAACACTGCAGCACCATTAGCCTTTGGTGTTAATCACATTAGGGTGCTTTTCTTAGTACGTTTATATGTTGCGAATAATGCAATAACGAACACCTTTTGATATTCATAAATTGATATTGTAATGTTACGATTTCCTTTTATCTAGACCCCTTTAAATACATATATATAATACATATGTACATATGTATGTTATATTATATTATATTATATTATATTATTTAAATTAGTTGAAATGAAGTTTTTTTTTTGAATTGACTAAATTATTATTTGCGTTTTATGAACAGGAAATGATGATCACCAAGCACATGACGAGTCTCCGGAAGCGGATGCCTCAAGACAAAGCAATTCTGCTAAGAAATTGCACGAAGCACACAGTTGGAGTTTGCTTATGACAACGGCCGTAATGCTGCTGATTTATAAGATTACAACCAGCTAAAACATTCAAAAAAGTGCAATGCAAATGCGCGTACATACACTCCTAATTATGTGCAGAGAAAGGCATGCGAGTGAACTGGAATGGAGCTGCAAGTAGTTTTATGATATCCAAATAAAAAATACAAATATGAAAATAAGAAGACAATGGACGAACCCAGGATCGCGTTCTCTCTTAGCTGCTCAGAACACTTGTACATTAGAATTAGCTTTAAGGGAGCGCATGCAAAACTGTAAGCACTTACATACATACAATACATGCATATATTTAGTTAATAATTATATCATACGTGTAAGTTCATTATTTAGTTTAAGCGACAAAAGTGCGAACGAATTGTGACATTTTAATAATTTTATTGTAAATTATGCACATACATATGTATATAAAATTACCTAGCCATTAGCAGTTAGCTGCAAACGACCTCAAAGTATACATATAAGTATATCTGAACATCGCAATAAGTTGTCATTAATTTTTTTAACGAATTAAATGGCTAAAGTTGGCTGCATGTGCAGTATCCTTAAAACAAAGTTTATATGTAAAAAAAAAAAATGTAGTTTATCACCTAAGATATTATATTTCAACATTCCAATGAAAATCTTGTCCAAAATTCTCCAATTGAGGTAGTCGAATAAACCTACACGTATGCACCGTTTAATTGGTTTAACCAAATTGTATACATACTGCATTTGTCGGTGGCTTAGAAACTTGTTCTTTTAATATAAAATAAATATGTTTTTAAGATTTGACTTGTAATATCGATTTTAAGAATATATTTTTAGCAATATTTACATACATATCTTAAGTGTAATGTAATATGAATATCATCAGTAAACGTATTGAATGTGAAAATACGGAATTAATATTTAACTCCGGATATTATAGTCATTTGAGAATTGTACGTGTGTTTATTTGTACATATGTAAATAGCTTAAATGCAACCATCTTGATATACAAACAAGTATTTTGTTTCATTTTTATTTATAATAATCGGCGTAATGGATCGATGATGCTTCAAAAAATAAACACGACAAGCATCCAAAAATATAGAAAATTGATAAAAAATAAGTTCATTTTTCTATTCGCGGTTACTGCTCCGCATGGAATGCCATCATCTCCGAGTGCACTTTTGACATGAAATAAAAATCAATCCGCCATTCGGACACTTAAAATAAACATTTGTTGTAAAGATTACGCACACTACTCATTGTATAGCCTCTTTGCACCTTCAAGCAGATGTTTGATGTAAAGTATTGTACATATAGTATGCCCAAAATTTTGCAAAGGAAGCCTGGAAGATTCCGATGTTTCTTTATGACTTTAAATGCATTGGCTGCACTTATTTTTTAGGAAAAAGAAAATCAACATACAGGGCCCTTGAAACGATCAGGTAGTTACATAAGGCATTAGGTAAATATGACTAACGGTCGCACATGACCTGTCGCCAATCATCACTTTATATATTCGTCGTACGGTTGTTGTGTCGTCTTGGTTAAGACGTGATGTTACCCTGTTACAAACTACATATGTCTGGGCGCACCCTGTTGGCTCGTTTTCGTAATCTTTCGAGTACTTGGCGATAGTAGACTTGGTTTACGGTTTGCCACGTTCGAAGAATATTTTTGTGAACGATTCCACGGCTATCAAAAAATGCAATAATTATCGTTTTCACCTTCGACTTGCTCATGTGAGCTTCTTTTCGGGCAGAGGGCGTGAGGAGACAACCATTGTGAGTGCACTATCACGATGCACTTTTATAATTTTGGCATTAGTTTCCGAAGCTAATTCGCCTAAATTGGCGCAAAATTTTATCACGACGCGTTACTCTTGGTTTCGTATTTCCATTTTCGTCATGAGCACCACAAACACACGTTTACTCAATACAACACAGCAGGCGAACTAAACAAGCTACAGCGATGGCAAATATATTAGTGGAGAGGAGGAGGAGAATGCTGGGGGAAGGGAAAGTGAATTTCAAGCGGCTAATGACAAGCGCTCAAATTGAGATTCTTGTGGCAGAATTTAAAAGAGGAGTGGCAGAAATTAATGTGGTAGGACCACGTGTGCAGGAAGGCGATGAATGGTACAAGGCATATTAAGAAGTTACACAGGTCTTGAACGCCAGATACTAAATAAAGTATACAATTTAATTTGTTTACATATGAAAGTACAATATGTGGACAACATTTGATGTAAATTTGTTTGAAAAATAGTATAAGTTAAGAAGTTGGCGGTGTCACGAAGTAGACCGTCCACAAAAAAGTGCTTTCGCAGTAGTTATGATAACTTTTTCAATTTTTATCTGAAATCAAAAATCCAAATTTGTTCTTAAAGTAGGTAAATTTTCCTTGTGCCTGAACGAAGAAAAATTAAAAATTTAATTTTATGCAGCGTTTTCTACAAAAAACGTCATTTTTTACATAAAATTAAGCCACACCTTGGCTCGTGAAAAGAGTTGAAATCAAAGATAAAAGAAACCATTCGTTCAGGGACTACAAAAACATGGTCAAAAGAAGTGTGGAAAACTTGAACTCGATTGCTTCAAAAGTCGTTGAGAAACTTTGTCTACCGATTTCAATAAAGTGGTTTTAAGAAAAACGCGTTTTAAGTTTCTCTATTTTCTACAGTTTCGTCTCGATCGTCTTGAAACTTGGGGGAAATTTTTTGAAGTTGCAGGACCTATATAACCCCTTAAGACATGAAAAAGATTCTAAAGTTTCTTCTTTCATCATTTTAGCTACATATTTTATTTTCAAATTTAAAGTAAAGAAACAAATTTTGAAGCATGCAACGTACCCGGTTCTCTGGCCTATATTGTGGGACAAACAGATTTAGAGAGAGATCCTGATGGGTCAAACGAGGAATCTTCTCGGAAAAGTTTTTCCATCAGTAGATGATGATCCATTTGCCGGCACTTCGCGTAGCACCAATTCGATAACGATCGCCAGAGTATACGATGAACCTTTGTTCTCTTTTTCATCGCTTTCGCTTAAAAAAAAAAACAACTATTGTTTCATTTTTTTATTTAAAACCAACTTTTACTTTCTCAATTCACATCATTTCGCCTGGATATAAACAAAGCCGAAGCGATGAAAGTGACGATGAACATCGACGGCCAGCGAAGACATAGACGACGTTCAGCATAAGACCGATTATTTCCTTTTTAAATAATTTTCGTTTTGTTGACAAAAATTCAATCATAGATCATAAATCAACTGTTTTTAGAACTTGCTAGTTATTACTGAGTCAATTTTTCCCCGCACGAATTTGCAACTTTCTCTCCAAACTAAACGTCAAAATCGCACTACCAATTTTACTGAGTTTTTGGCTCAATGAACACGATTCAGTTGAGTTTGGTAAAAATTGTTACAGCCCATCTCATTAACGAACTGAACTTTAGTCATCAAATTTCATAATTTATACATATGTATGTGTTTTCCATATTTCTCCCAATGAAATATCAGCGCTGCAAGAAAAAACCCGAAGAGTTCCAAAATGTCATTAATAACATTCCGATTCGAACATTAATTTTTTATTAAACTTAGAAGTCTTTAAATTTTAAAGGAGCCGCGATCACGACGGAGGCTTTCACCAACGCATGACACTATTAAAGATTTCTGCATTTACGGTTTTGTTTACAATATTTTGCTGATTTTTGTAAATGAATTTTTTGTTGTATTGTTATCTCTTTTCTATACTATATAAACCATGTACCTGATCTATTTAAAAATATTGGAGTGAAGACTGAATCTTAAACATTTTTATATATATGTATATATGTAGGGAAAATTTTTGTCACAGCTGATTTCCTTCGGCATCAATACTGTCGCTCATCTGTGTTCTGTTTGTCCGACAAGAATGACAAAAATGCACAAAGAAACGATGTATACAAATGTAAACATCAAATTTGCCATTCCGGCCTTAAGAAAGTGATGGGAAAACGTTCTGCGAGCTGACGGGATATGACATCATGCATTTCTGACATATATTGGCTCAAATGATCGGAAGCCTTCTTGCCTTCTAATTACGAAGGTGGGGAAGCGGGAAACGGGAAGGAATTTAAAATTGTAACAGATTATTGTATTACAAGAATCATGTAATTCTTGTAATCACCGCCATTGCGTCTTTCTACGGTTCGTACTAATGCATCGTAATTATCTATCTCACTTTCGGAAATAGTCAAACGAATACTCCAGTAATTTGCTGTAGCTGTCCTCTCGAGCTGAAGCTAAGAGACCTAGAAAGTTATTTAACTGCAAATCTTGGAAATGACATTCATTTGTGACATTGCAGTCAGTGCACGTTCATGTCCACAACAGAAGATGAGCCAGTAGGCTTTCCTTCAACCTTCGCTGACAACTGCTCCAAATCCATCACAGAGTCAAGATCCTTCTTCCCTACATCTTTCTTGGACGTCTCTCCATCCTCACAACGGAACTCGTATTGGCTCAAGGCAATACCTTTCCTTCCATCGCTTCTCGCTGTCGTTATTGCAGCTCCTTCTAATTTCCGCTTGTAGATAATACTCGCTTCGCTAATAATTTTTTTATGAGTTGTATCGTCGAATCCTGAGTCTGAACCATTTTCGGTTTCAATTATATGGAATTTATTTAACTATCCCACTTCTGAGCGTAGTTGTAACGATTCTAAGGAAATCACGCTTATTTATTAGTCAATAAATAGCAATTCACTTTACTATTTTCCGGCCACCGAAAGGTATCTTTGTTGTTGTTATTGTGTTATGTAGTTGTAACTGAAAAATGTTCCCTGAAATGATTTTCGAGGACTGTTGTGGGAGCCTACATGGTCCGCTCTTCAAAAATTCCTGCTGCTTTCGGGACTCATAAGCACCACTGTTAAGTCGCTGCGGGGAAAGCTACCTCTGTTTGTTGGAAGAAAGCCTATACTTCTGCAAGAAAATGCAAGAACGCCAGCTTGATCCCAGGAGGTCCGTATCAGGATTCATAGGGAAAGCAGCCCCCACGATCGTACATTGCGCCACACTACTTGTAAACTTAAGGATCGCGTATAACTTGTGTCGGGTGTGGACGATAGAACGCTAAAAGTCGACAGAGGCTGTCGCTGAAATTGCAGAGCTCTAGCACGCGGCAGACTTAGCAGCCTTGGCTTAGATGTCAGCAAATCCCTTCAACCCGTAAGAAATCTTACCCACCATTGATTAGATAGTCCGCATGAGAACAGTGCCAACTTATACGCTAAAAGCGAAGCGGTCGGAGAATCTGAATAGGTTGCAGCAGTTTGCGCCCGCTAGGAAAAAATGGAGCAGAACCAGCTTCTGGACTCTAGCAACGATATGCTCCCTATTGACGCTATAGTCATAATCCTCCCTGAGGCAGAGAAGTTCAATGTGCACCACTCTACAACAGCGCCTACTGACCTCATTCTGAGAAATGAGACAAAGCGGAGGACATAACTCTAGTCCAAGAATCTTGGGTAGTATGTTACAGGATCTGTGGACTGACCTCTGATATCTACCGCGTCTGCAACTGTTATTACATTATTTTTAAAGATTCACACTCGTAACATCTTCCTTTCATTGCATTTCCAATCCAATTATAGATTTGCAGTCATCTTTCTTTGGTACGATATCCTTTGCCTAATTAAAGAGCACTGTCATAATTTTATTGGACTAAGTTCAACTTATGAGTTGATTATAAAATTTTAAAGCATTTTCAAACTTGCTATTCTTTGTACAAATATTGAATATACTTAAATTTTTCATGTATTTGTCAAGATTTACACGCACTCGAATACATTTTTGTAAACGAATGACTGCTCGAAATAAATATTACGTGACGTGGGAGATGTAAACGGATGTTATAATCCAAACACAAAAAAAATCTTCAGCATATGCTGTCATTCGACACCAGGTTCTATCACTCTACACTATTGTACTTTGCCTTTTGGTGAATAAAATTTCGAAAGAGTTGATATCAATAGCTACCGGAGTATTACAAGTAGATGCATATTAGGAGGCAATAGTATAAATTTTTCATGTTAAGAAATGCGTTTACTGTCTGTCCTCTAGTACTAATGCCCGACAAACACTGCAACCGTTTTAACTTGAGCATTGGGTTTATTTTAATCTAAGCGATTTAGCAATAATTTGTAAAAACTGTTACAAGCTTATTATATTTGGTGGTATTCGGTCACTTAGACCGTGGTAGGACCAACACGGGCAATGCCTTGCATTGACCTTGTTGTTCTAATCTTAATGCTTTTATTTAGTTAAAATAAAGTTGCCAAATCTATGGTTCTGGCGGTTTTAAAATGTAAGTGGCATAATTTATATTAAGTTGTCCTATCTTATTTTTATTTTTTTAAATTAATTTACTTCCTTTAGCAATTCATCCAACTCGTCAAAATCGCTTAGAACTTCCTTTTTAAGAACTTTGGAAGAATTCAACTGGTCATATAATTGCTCGATGTATTTTTTTTCTGTTATTGGGACTATGGTTGAAGTTGTATGTTTTTTCGCAGGGTTTGTCGTGTCGTCTAGCACTTCTACATGGTTTTTGCTTTGAAGGCACTGCTGAGATTCCGTTAATTTTGAGATACTATTTGTCGAGGATGCGAATTCCTGATTTCTGTCCACTATTTCCTCGTTGCCTAAAATTCAAATTTGATATTATATATTAGATATGGACATACTTTGTTTACCTTTGGAATTGAATGGTGTTGGAGAAGTACAATTAGAATTGAATTGGTCGTCATTATCATAGCACTCCGTTTTAATGGTAGGTTCATTATTGCTATGAGAATACTCACAAATTATACTAGAGCATTCATCTCCATAGCTGTACTCCGAATCATAATTCTCCTCTTTTATATAGTCTATTAGGTGGCATATTTGATTAAATTTATTAAAAAATCAATGTTTGTAAAAAATATATATTACCTCCCACATCTTCATCTTTCACTACAGATTCGTAATTATCAAATACATTATTGCTGCTATTCTCTTCCCCACAAACATTTTGGAGAGGAGGCTGTTGTTGGGCTCTACTTTCATTGTTTGCTAGATTTCTTTCTGAGCACGAATTTTCGGCAGGATAATTAAACTTTGCCCTACGAAACCGTAAAACAAGTGAGCGTCCATCTATTTGTATGTTAATTCCACGCTTAAATGCAGCTATTGACTTTTCTATACTTTCATAACGGATAAATGCGTACCTAATAGGTTTTATTTTTGATTTGAAAGCCAGATCATATCTTTGGCCGCCAGGAAAATGTCGCTTTATGCTTTCCACGGACACAGATAGCGACAAATTACCTATATATAAAGTATACGGATCAACTTGTTCCGGCTTTGTAGTAGGTGGAGGTTTCGAAGGATCAAAGCGCAATTCAGCTGATAAATAGCCCATGCCAAAAGGGATTTTGGATATTTCTTGTATAACTTTTTCAGCACTGGCGTTTTCTGCTAGGCGAACAAAACAATATCGCGGTGAAGAATTTTTTTGAAAGTGTACAGCTTCAATTTGTTCTGAAAATCCTTTAACAATATCACAATCTAATGGTGGGTCTGGAAATCGGATTACCAAGTATGGGGCTGTAGTATTTCGTTTACATAACTCTTCCTCAATCTTAAGAGCGCGTAGAGCGTCCTCTTTATTCCACTTTTTTTTGGAGCTTTGTGAACTTAAGAGATTTGAATTATTGCTATGTAGTTGATGAGATTCTTTTTGGCCGTTACGTTCATAGGAGTGTTGAGAGGTACTAAGGGTAACGTTTTGAATCATGGAACCATTAAGCGTGGGATGATCATTATTAATTTGTAGACCACTATTTATCGTTGGACCCATATTCATACGAGAACGACCATTATTGTATGCACCGTGGTAAGGACTACTATTTATATTTCGATTACGATTAGTTTGAGAACTATTATTCATAGGATCATTATTCACTATTGGAGGCATGTTGTTGTGATGAGTATTCACCATAGAGTTATTCATATGGAGATACGGAAAAGTTACTTGATGTCCAAATGAATGCGGCGTTATTTGTACAGATGGTTGAATGGCCCACCTACCGCCATTGTTAGATATTTGAGGACCGTAAGGCATTGCGCCATTATGATAATTTGATGTTGGATCGGGACAAAAGCGTTTCCATTGTTGCTGTTCGTGCTGATTACCTTTTTGCCGGTAAGATTGCCTGCTGTTTCCTAAATAAGACCTTTTCATAAAATAACCACTTTTTTTACTGGGTTTCATTTTTTATTTTCAGATGCAAGCAAGATTTGTCTGTCAAATATTATTGTTTTGATTATGTCTGCTACAGCCGCCAATATGACGTAAAAACGATAGAACATCGATAAAATGCTGAAATCTTGTTTGTTCTTTTACACTTCTTTTTAAAAGAATAACTCCTTGCTCACACCGCATCGGAAACGCGTTGAAATGATAAACAACAATGATAAATTACTTAATTAAACAAATGAAATTAATAAGTCTCAAACAAAAGTCCCTTTTACGGAATAATGACTAGAAAAAGAAGAAACTACTCCATATGTCATAATTTGATATGTCATGCCTGGTGAAAGTATTTCATATCGCTGTATGTCTTGTATGGCTACATTAAGCCACTTAGTACTCTTTTAAAAACACAACATTCTTTACTTATTTATTGCACTGCTCACTTTTTACACCTTGCTCAGTTGCATACGATTCGTTTGTAAATATATATTTATCATATTTTGATATAAGCCTGAATAATTTTCTTAATCCTTCGAGTTGAATCCCTGGATTACTAAACAAAAATCACAAAAATGTTGTACAGTTTCTTAAAAGTAAATATCTTAATCCAAGTTTATGCATTACTGAATATATCAAAATCACTACTTCCCATTCAACTATTTTTACTTCGTACCGATGTTGCCGCCAACGAATTAACTTTATTGCAAATATAATGTTGCGAAAATGCGAGGCGAATGTCAGATGAAAGAGAGAAGCCGATAACTAGTACGTTCTAGAAACGATAAAACAAGAACCTTCCATAGCGAACAATTCGATGCTTCTACGCTTTCGTCTGCGAGCAGCCGACTGCTATATAAAGGCGACACTC